TTTTATTTTGATAAATCACACAGTGTTGTACAGTAATATTAACTGATGACGTTTCGAGCACAGAGTATTGCTCATAGTCATATCAAGTCACTCACACAACTTTTTTCATTTGTGTGAGTGAATTGATTTGACTATGAGCAATACTCTGTGCTCGAAACGTCATCAGTTAATATTACTGTACAACACTGTGATTTATGAAAATAAAATCTTATCTATAATGGAGTTATACTCTACCACAATACCGAAGTTCCATACTTATATCACTTTATTGTCTCTCCACTAGTTCCTGTCCATTCTATACAATCTTATTGAATAACCATTTCCCCACGCTTATTACGTCATCCCAACTTCTACCTCTTTTCTAACTTCCAGTTAGTCAACCCTTCTAGGTTACACCTTACACTACGTAATACTTTTCTCGACGACAAATTTTACCAATATCTTATTGGTCTTATGATTTCTTTGCTAATTATAATCGCGATGGTACGGCTTATGAAAACTAATCACCGAGAAGAAAATTTACTTCGCTGTTTACGTCTTTTTTTATGACTCAACATGATAATATTTCTTTGATTCATTTATTTGTCCATAATATTTCGTAGAGTTTAAATTAAAATATTCCCCTTGACAGTTTAACACCGATCTTCGAGTGGCTTTAATGCATATCCCCGCTAATTTTTGCATCGTACTCCGTTATTGTGGTGATTTACTGACAAGTTGTACGCCTTTCAGATGAAATTTTGCATTAAAAATTATCACTAGCATTACATTCTTGAACTGTTACATTCTTATCAGAAAATATTCCTTGATACTAATATCTGTGCGATGTAAAGGACTATAGGAGGCATTAATTTAAAAAGTTTAACGTATACATTATTGAATTTTCATGAAATCATGTTGGTATATTTTGGCTTATTTTTATTGAAATGTGCACCGGATAATGTCAGCACCTGAGAAATCATAGTCAAACAACCTTATGTCTATTAATGCTTACAATTCATGAAACAACAATTCGAAAAGTGGGTAAATTCACCGAGCAGACATTAGCATGAACACACACTCATATCGCATCCAGTTTTGTTATTGGGAAAAATTATCGTTATCACAAACCACACGTATATGACTGTAACATTGTTAACCTCAAGTTACCCAACTAATTCAACACATTCCGACCGAAAGCTGCTACCTTGACGTGGTGGTCGGGCTTGAACACCGCAATGACCTAATCAAGCTATACTGGCTGAGACTTATGTCTCTTGAGGTTCTACCATGCCAGGCAGGTTGTTTGGATAGCGGTTAAACAAAAAGCAGCTACCCATCCAATACCATGATTCAAACAAATTCACAAAATTTCATGCCGGATCGGCCGTGGCCCGGATTAACAACGACCGCGCTTCCTGCTGCCGTGTCACAGGGCAGGAGTGATAAGTATGCTACTGAGGCACACAAAACAACAGAGAACAAACAAAAACAGGCCGCGTGTGACCGGCCTCAAGCAGTTGTCCCCTGGGCTCTGCGGTCACGCAACCAACTTCCACGGTGTGGGCAGCCGGGAAGTAACAATCGCCCTCACAATCCGAAATGCACACAAAACCTCTCTAATCCTCACTTATCTTTGTCTTCATCTTCATCTCTATTACCTTGCCTTCCTCCCACTGATGCAACTCCTCTACTTGATGGCTCCTCACTCCCTCTTCACTCTGTGTCCACTAAAAACGACGAAAGCCAAAAAACCACCACCGATAGTCTCCTAAAGCCACGCCACCAATTTCATATAGGAGCATTTAATGTTAGGACACTTTGCCAAATAGGACAACAAGCATCACTAGCTAAGACCCTGGCATCCCGAGCCATTGATGTATGTTGTGTTTCAGAAACACGCATACAAGACCCAAGTGTGGTTATTCACCTAACCCCACCTGGCCAACAGGATGAATCTTCAAAATTCACCTTGAGGGTGTCAGGAGATGCCACAGCTAGTTCACGAGGATTAGCTGGCGTAGGGATAGCTTTGAGTACTAGGGCAGAAAAGACATTGCTTGACTGGATCCCGGTAGATAGCCGAATGTGTGCTGTCCGTCTGAACGGATCAGTAAGAAGGAGAAAGGACTGCACTACTCGCCGATGCCTTTTCGTAATCTCCGCCTACGCCCCCACTGACTGCAGTTCGGATGAAACGAAGGATGAGTTCTACCAAAAGCTGTCTAGTTTGGTGAGAAAGGCTAAACGCTCAGATATAGTCGTTCTAGCTGGTGACTTTAACGCTCAAGTAGGGAAATTGTGTCAATCTGAGAAGGATGTCGGTGGCACCTATGGAGTTCCGTGCCAGCGAACCGACAACGGTGACCGTCTCCTACAGTTCTGTTCAGATAATCATTTGTTTCTTGTAAGCACTAACTTTAAACACAAGGAGAGACACTGTTTAACCTGGCGACCCCCATCATCAAACCAACGCTGGACACAAATAGACCACATAGCAATAAGCTATCGTTGGCGTGGGTCGGTAGGAGATTGTCGCTCCTTCTGGAACACGTGTGTAGATACCGATCACGCACTGGTCCGGGCTCGTGTGTGCTTACGACTGAACGGACGTAGGAAACAGCTGGCGGTAAAACCATCACGTCCCCAGCTCGATCAGGAAACTAAATCCCTATTTGAGGAAGAACTAGCTAAACGCATATCTGAATTCGACAGCTGTGCTCACCCTGGAGAAGCCTGGAAGAATATTCAGTCAGCTATAGATACAGCTGTAAAAGCTGTGAATAAGGCAAATCCAAAGGTGAGTAAAAACCACTGGATTTCGACTGCCTCATCCGAACTGATAGATGCTAGAAGACTTATTCCGGCGAGCTCCGAATTCAATGAGGAGCGAAAGCTGCACAAAAGGAAACTTACTAAAAGTCTCCGCAAGGACCGTGAACAGTGGTGGGTGACAAAGGCGAAAGAGATGGAAAAAGCATCGGCGATAGTAGGCAACTCTTTAGACTCATCAGGGAAACGGGTGGGAGAAGGCAATTCATAAGTGAGACTATTTCTGAGAAAAATGGCTCCTTAATTAGCTCTCAGGATAGACGCCTTGAACGCTGGAAAGAACACTTTGAGGAACAATTTAACTTGCCTACAGCCACACTGAACCTCCCCGCCATCCAAACACACCCGAATGGGATATAGACACTGGTCCGCCGTCTGTAAGTGAGGTCACAAAAGCTATCAGTAATTTGAAACGAGGCAAAGCGGCAGGACCCGACGGAATTATTCCGGAGGTGTTTAAATATGGGGGTGACATACTAGTTTGTAGATTAACTGAGGTACTAGGCAAAGTCTGGGAATCAGAGACAGTGCCATCAGACTGGGGTAAGTCACTTATTATACCGATATTCAAGAAGGGAAACAAGTCCTCGTGTGATAATCATAGGGGGATCAGCCTAACGAACATAGTCTCTAAAATCCTAGGCTCAGTAATCATGCATAGACTAAGCAGAACTCGGGAGGAACAGACAAGGGAAAATCAAGCAGGCTTTAGACCAGGTAGAGGGTGCATAGATCATATCTTCACTCTTCGACAGATTCTAGAACATAGACACACTTTTCGGCGTCCAACAATTGTCATATTTCTTGACTTGAAGGCGGCCTTCGACTCCGTGGATCGAAAGGTACTATGGCAATGTCTGACTGTGAAGGGAGTGCCAAGAAAGTACATTGCACTAATCAAGGCACTCTATTCAAACTCACGTAGTCGTGTAAGGGCTTATGGGGAATTGTCATCTGAATTGGTAACAACCAGTGGTGTCCGACAGGGATGTCCACTTTCCCCATTTCTGTTTAACTTCATCATAGATATGCTGATGGAAGTATCCTTAACTGAACGTAATGACTTAGGAATCGACTTGTTACCAGGGAATAATCTTATGGACTTAGAATATGCAGATGACATAGTCCTGTTAGGGGAGGATGCTGACAAAATGCAGAGTCTTCTGAACACCTTGAGCAGCAATCTTCGTATGTTTGGCATGCGATTCGCCCCTGCAAAATGTAAGATGCTGCTACAGGACTGGACCACGTCAACCCCTAACTTAGTGATAGGGAGTGAAGTGATAGAACATGTTGACCACTTCACCTATTTGGGAAGTTGTATTAGCACCAACGGACTGATTGGCGATGAAATCTCAGCACGGATCCGAAAAGCTCGAGCTGCTTTCGCTGACTTACACCATCTCTGGCGTAGGCGTGACATCCGGTTATCAACCAAGGGACGTGTGTACTGCTCATCAGTTCGCTCCGTCCTTCTCTATGGCTCTGAAACATGGCCAATACGCGTTGAAGACATGAAAAGGTTGACTGCTTTCGATCATAGATGTCTGCGATCTCTGTCTCACGTTAGGTGGTTTCACAAGGTAAGTAATGTTGACGTTAGGCGTAGAGTGTTGGGCAAAGAGGGAAAATCAATCGACGAGGCTATAAAGTTACATAGACTAAGATGGCTAGGTCACGTGCTGCGCATGCCTAACCACCGCCTCCCCCGACGGGCATTGCTAGCTGATATAGGTTCAGGTTGGAAAAGAGCCAGTGGTGGCCAAACAAAAACATGGCATCAATCCATGAAATCCTTGACAGTTAAACTGAGTCAGGTAGGGAGATGCAGACTTCCGGGTTGGGGCCCTCGGGACTCTAGGAATCAATGGCTGGAGACAATAGGTGACATGGCTCAAAATCGTTGTCAATGAGCGCAGATGTATTCAGTCTCTGTAATCTTTCATATTCCTTTCTACCATTACCCATTCTGTTTCACTCTTATACTTGTCAAACTCTATTGATTCTCTTCACTCATCTTCTTGTCTACCTCTGTGTGCTATTTGGAACGTGGCAACTCGAACTGGTGCACTTCGGTGCCAAGTTCTATGTTGAATCCAGACAGACAGACAGACTATAACACAGTCGAAAAAATGAGGATAAACCAAAGTCATGTAATAAAGCAGTCATGTGTATCCATTATTATATTAGAATATTAAGCATTACGCGTTAGTTTAATTGTAAATATTTATGTACAAAAAGAAATCTTGGCTTACAATGATACAAACAAATGAATATGGGCTATCAAACTAAAACATACATATAATGAAAAGAATAAAATGATCACTTGAAGAGAAACAAACAAAGTACAGCAGATGTACAGTATAGAAATGCTTACAGTGTAAAGAAATAAATCTTATTAACTTTTACACATATATATATATATATATATATATATATATATATAAGTAAGCAAAACACAATCTCAAGTACAGGCGTAATCTTTACTAGTTTGAGTTCAACTGACCACTTGTCGACAGTTTTTTAGACCTGCAGAGGATAAAGCAATATTGGTTAAATTCTCCAAATACTTTCGAGCTTTTAACCGACGTGAACGACTACATCGGTGGTCTAAATCTTTTAGACATTGTTTAGCTTGACGCCATGCTCCCACTATTTGACGCATACGTTCTTGTAAAACCTGAAGATAGAATGCACAACATAATGATTGACAATAACACAATAACAACTTAGAAAGTCATAATCTTTATGTAGCTTCATCTTAAAAAGTGATTTTTCTTGCTTCTTTATTTTGTTATTGAATATTTATTAGACTACAAACTTGATAGCTTAGGTTGGACTGGAACAGGTATATGCAAAATTTAAAACGCTGATTGACACGGAGAACAAACAACATTATTTTGAGTGACTTCTTTAGGTCCTAAAGTTTGTGAGTCCACATTAGTTGGGAAATAACTTATTAACAACAATAATGTCTTCTTTATAAGGTCGAATCATTACCCATCCGAGAATCCCAATGTTGTCTATCAAGAAATTGCTCTTAGAACACAATTGAGAACAGGCAATTTAAGAACATGAGGAGCAGAGAAATCAGATTGTAGAACAAATCGGACTATTTCCTCTAAGTCTGTGAATCTTTAGTAGTGTGTGTGTGTGTGCTTACGATAACGTGAAAGATTGGAGTCAGGGTTACCAAGCTTTATAATTATAAGGATGCAACCATAAAGCCAGTGAGTTTGAAATTCAACAGGTTTATGATTTCCAAAGGAAGAGAAAAATGTCAAAATGAAATGCTGCTTAGTATTTTAACATTTTCAGTATGCTTATCTGTTGATTAGTTCAGATGTGTAACACAACCTTACTTGAAATCAGTCAAATGCTCACAGAGAAAAAGCCAACACTGTATTCATTACAGTCAATATAAACCATTTACTAATATCCGCATCAATCCATCAGTTGCTTCGTGAATTGTGGCATTTGCATGAGATTTTATTAATGCTTAAAATCTATCAGATACGTCAGGTTTTTAAACAAAGTAACCACTTTATATTTTCGTGTTAGTTCGCGCTGGTTCGATTATAAACAACATTATACTGAAAGAGTATCATTCGATGTATACCAGTAGAATGTGTGGGATATGATTTAAATACTTGAGAAATGCAACCCTATTTTATCACAGGAAATAAAAGGAAGAATGATAAGGAGATTAGAAAATTTTGAATTTTCAGGATTACTCTAATGCAATGTTAACAGGTTATTTCACAACAGTCTACAGAATATAATTCTGAACACAGGCGATCTTTGTCCAACTGCATAGCAGGCTGAATAATACAATTATTCAAAACAGGTCATAGAAGATTTCAGGCACTGAAAGAGATATCACTGGGACCTTGTCGCATTGTCCACATTTTCAATTGAACTACCAAAATTAAGGCAGAAGTTAGATGGAGTATGTGTAAGCCAGTCTAAGTATCTATAAATCTTCATCATTTTATTCTCATCCAAAGATGTATAATGCATGTTAGCGAAAGTGGGAAGGAAGCAAGATTTAAACAGAACAAGACTTAGTAAGTGAATGTTTAAATTGATGTTGATAGTCGTATAACACAGTAGAGACTGTCTGGTGGAGGTACCACAAGTCTATGGTCATCCTAGCGAAATATCCTCCTGCTTTATCTTCCGTTTAATTCTAACATATCTTATTGCTATGCCTCTTTATCCATTTTTTTTCTTTTCACTATATACTAATCACTACACCTTTGCCTCCTTACTATTCGAAGTTCAACAGCTTGGACTACTAAACACGGATGCAAATTGTGAATTAGATTTAAGCTCTATGACTGATGGAAAAGTTTAAATGAATTTAGAGTTCATACACACTTACCTTATTCGGTGTATACGATAACCTAAACACTAACATAAGTGATCAGTGCATTCAGTCAACAAATGTGAAAATCATCTTGACCAATCAGTTAGAAATATGATAGATTGAAAGCATTATATATATATATATATATATATATATATATATATATATATATATATATATATATATATATATATATGAAGATAATTTCCTGTTTGCATATAACAGACAGAAAAGAAAGAATAACTTACGTAGCATCTCATTTCAGGAGGCAGATCATTATAGCCTGGAATCGGAAGGAATGGTCCACCAAATCGTCTAAGGGAAACTGTTGGACGATTATTTGCCTGACTTACACCTGCTTTAGAACCACTAGGTACCGGAGGTGACACAATTGTTCCACTTCCTGGGTGTGGAGATATAGGAGGATAATGCGGTGAATTGGTATTTAGAGCTGATGAGGTCTCAGAAATCTAAAAATGATAAACATAAAACACATGTAATCATCTAAGAATACGAAATGAATAGCTAGTTATCTTCCTGGTTACTAAGTTAATACTTAGAACTTTTATGGGGTTACACATAGTTTAATTAGTATTCAGCTTAAATGTTTTTTAGTAAATTAATTCTTCAGATAGTACATAACTTATTTATTTGTCTTTACACGTACACATTCATATATAATCCATTTGTCTACTTGAATTTCTAATAATCTTTTATTTTTTAAGTAATCTGATGATGAATTAATCCTGTGCAGCACTCATACATTCCATTGGTGATACACTCTGTGTACAGATTTGAAATTTATAGGAACAGATGAATATGCATTGATATTTTCACAATATGTAACTGTGATGTGATGTGTGAGGATACACGTATAAAATAACCTGAAAAATGACCCGAATTTATGTAAAAATAAACTGAATACCAGATGCCTACACGTTTGGATCAGATTAGTAATAATACTAATACTACTTTTGAGTTGATAATTATCCAAAAAAGATCTTGAGTACAAGAGACAACATACCATAACACGATGAGAGCTTGAACGATTTCGCCTTTTTCCTCTTCTACCGGTAGTATCAGTTGAATTGCTGTTACTGCTGGATCGTCTGACTCTACTGCGAGATTTCGGTACATTTGTTTGTTCTATTTCAGTAATTTTATCTCTTTGTTCATCATTAACAGGCTCTATGGTTGGTTTATTCTCAACAGTTTCATTTGTCTCCTTAACTTCAACAACTTCATTAATTGGTTGAGTTTCTTTATCAGGCAGGGTATCTACTGTTGCAGTTATATCGACAGGTTGATCAGATGAATGTACAGAATGGGGCACTTCTTCTACTTCTTCATCTTCGTTGCTTGACAATTGTTGACGAGACTTTACCGAAGACATAGTTAGATCGTATAACATTCCATCCATGGGATCTGTGCTCATAGTTTCGACAGAACTTCGATCATCTTCAGTATCATTATCACCTAATGCCTTTTCAATATCTTCCCTTGATACTTCCACTTGTTTATCATGTATGATTGTGGGTTCTGAGACTATGCTTTCGTTTTGATATTCATTTATCCCAACATCAATGTCTTCTGTGTCATCATATGGAACTTTAGGAGACAGATTTGGAATACTATGATTCGTAGGACTTTCAACGGATCCTTCTTTCATAGATATGTCCATTTTTTCCAAATCAATACATTCACAATTCTCACTAACAGATTCAGCATCATTTTCATCATTCCCAGTCTTCTGAGTAGGCATGCCGTCCAGCTTGCCTATCACTTCACTATCAGACAAATCAACATGAGGTTGTTGCATTTGAGATAATATGGGTAAGTCTTCCATTTCTGTTGAAACAAAAGAATAAAAGTTGGTTAGGGTTGAACAGTAGAAATAAGGGCTTGAAAAGAAATTCAAATTGCAATTAGATTATTATCTCATGCAAACAAAAAATCTTTTCAATACAATGGTCAAGGATACGAATATATTCAAAATTAACCAGCTAGGGATGACAGGGTATTATGAACGTCACTTAGAAAACAACAGTCACTAGAAGTGAAGATGAGAGATCAAAAGAGTATGTCACATTGAAAATTTCCACAGTTAGAAAAAGCACACAGAATACGAGAACAAAAATAGAATGATCCTATGACAGAAAAACATGGGTCGAGAGCTGATAGGTAACAAAGAGTATATACAAATGGGTGATTGAGTGATTTTGAGACACCTCACCAAGAATCTTCAAACAATGGTTCATAACATTCTGTGGATGTGAAATAGGTGACCTCCACCCTCCACCATAGCTCAGACTGACAGTCAATGACTTCAGAGATTGCATTCATGTTTTAGTTTGACAACCCTCTGACTCTTATCCAATCTAACACTACTCCAGATAATATTACTCAACACAATAGAAGTAGTCTTCTGTAAAAGTAGGGATTGAGTATCAAAGAGTGACACGGTCAATTTCATCTGTGTTTTAAGTGTGGTTTGCTCCATCTAAGTGCGAAGCATTTTTGCAAGATTGGTGGGATCCTTTACCTGATGGTGAACAGAAGTGATCAATAAGTTCTTATATCTAGACAGTTGTGAGTATTTGTGGAAGTGCGACGAATATAGTGAAAGCTGAGGAGACATATGACAACCTGTACCACCTCTAAGATCGTCGCGATGTTAGTTTGCCCAGCAAAGACCAGAAGGATATTATGATTTAGTGCACTCGGTCTTACTCACAGCATATGAAAGCTGATCTCAGAAAGACGAAAATGAGCGACAACTCTGTGCGTTCGATACTAGCTGACTTGCTTACAGTGGCATTATCATTCAAGTAATTCTCAGGTTTAACAGTGTGTTTGAACATGATGACGTGTTGGGAGACTAGCTTTATGCGTTTAGGCATTTACTATGAATGACATCCCAGTCAATCCCACACCGTTCACAATGTCCCAACCGACAGACTGGGTGAAGAAAGCAGAGGTGGTAATCAGCCCATAAACTGGCACCATGAAGGATAGTCGTGTCAGGTTAGCATCTGTTAGTGCATAAAGACTGCATTGGTAGGGTCTAACAGATAGTCCGACTCAGTGACCCAACATATTGTCAAATATGACTAGGAATCATAATCTATGGAGAACATACCGCAGTTTCTTTATTTCCTTTGTTTCTGAAACAAATATAAAGCAATGAACTCTCCTTCAAATGCTTTTGATAGGTATGCTTGCGTGTTGTTATGATGCTTATCATTAATTATCCTAATTTTTTCCCTATATGTGTTTTCATTGATATAAGAATAGAACTTGTGCACTGTGGTAGAGTATAATTCCATTGTGGTAAAAATTTATTTTGATAAAATCAAATAGTATTATACAGTAATATTCACTGATGACGTTTCGAGTACAATTTATTGCCAATAATCACATAAAGTTACTTATACAACTTTTCACCTTCGTTAATGTAAGGATAAAATGATTTACCATGCGAAGATAAGTAATCTAGAAAAAAGTTCAGCAATTGCATTGCATGCATTAACGCACAATCACACAATAGGATGGGGCAGCGTCAAAATTAGAAAAAGTAATATTAGCTGGTGAAGTGAGAGGTTGATTACTGAATCTTTGTTCATAGAATCTACAACCAACACGTGCAAAAGGAATGATGCATTACTCGTACCAGAAATATGGAATATACTACTGTGGCAAGATTTATCAGCAGTATATAAAAAGACGTTCATGGGCATATAAATAGCATCAAATAGCAGGGAGGCAAATTTGATTTCAGAGAAGGCAAATGATACAGCGTTGTGGAAGGAATACAAAGAAATACAATACAAAGTTCAGAAGTAGTACAACACGAAGATCTGTGCAAATGGTGCTGCGTTGAAAATAATGTACACATAATTTGGCTATATACAGATACCAATTTCTAAATACCAAGTTTTTTGTCTTCTACCGTTTCACTACTACCAATCAAATCAAGAGATGAAAAAAAAATGGAATCATTTAAACGAAGTTGGAGAGTTGTGTGAGTATCTTGGTAGGATTATGAGCGGTAATAAATTGTACTCGAGACGTGGTTATCAGTAAATATTACAGCGTGTTGTAAAGTTTTTGTTTCGCCTATCTTTTGATGCTCATAGTGTACCAGGTTTGTGTTTGAATTAAATAAACAATAATATTTCCATGTAATAAAAACCATGATCCTATATACCTTTCAATAATTATCATAAAAATAAACAAACTCAATGCACAGAATAAATCTTACCTGTGGACACTTCAGTGATATTTTCAATCTCGTCAGATTGTTCTTTGAGTTGGCTTGATTTATGCTTAGCAGATTTACTAGCATGAGTTGTTGAAGCACTACGATTCGATGGTGTAGGAGCTGCAGTTTGTAAAGTTGAACCCGGTGGTGTATCACCTAATAATTGTCTATGTTGACTACGTGTTAGCCTTGGAAGTGCATCGTTAGTACCGTAAACACTTTCTGAACTACTGTCAATAATTTCATTGTGTAAATATTCAGAAGTCATATTATTATTATTGTTATTATCTTCATGCTCACTATCTATATTTGAACTAGCTGAACTAATATCAGATATAGTTATAGTAGATTGTTTAATAGGATGCTCATGCTTTTTATGTGAACTAGTAGTAGATGAATTAGTTGAATTTCGAGCTGAATTACGCAATCGTGAACGTGAAGATTTGCTAGCACTTTCAATTTCATCATTATCAGAAGCAGAAGAAGAAGAAGAAGAATCACCATCAGAAATATCTTCAATATACGGTGATGGATGAACATATTGATTATTTGATTTATTCACTGGATATTTTTCATCAGTCGACTTAGATAACTTTTTAGATTTTGTCTTACTTTTAGATTTTTCGTTAATCCTACTAATTACTAATTTTAGATTTGCACCTGTTGAACTAGTGAAATCTGATTCAGTAATCTTTCTTTCTAATCCAATATATCTATATGCATCATAGTTGTCTAAAACACTGATACGCGGATAGACAGTTGTCGCAGTAGTCGTCGTATCGGTAACAACAGCAGGAGTGGAAATGCTAGTAATGGTAGCAGGAGCAGTAGTACTGATAGCAGCAGAAATGCCAGCAGTGGTCACAATGGTGGGGGTGGTAGTAGTAGCAGTAGTAGTAGTAGTAGGAGGAGTAGTTGTAGTAGTAGTAGTCAGTTTCTTTGTAGGATGTGAAGTAGTTTTAGTCTCTTTCTTTTTGAATAAAATTTGTTTAATAGAACTTTCTTCAGACCTCTTTTCTCTCTACAATAAAAGAAATGAAAAAAAGGAGAAATAGGACACTAGATATATTTAGCCACAATATAAGAAAACAGACATTATGACACTGATCAGAAGAAACAACCGTTGAATAAAACTTTTTATGTACTTTTTCGTGGTAGAACATACACCTTGTTGATGATCACTGATTATAACTTATAGTAGTAGTGCATACAGTGTCAGCTTACCAATTGTCAAGAACCGACATGAATCAGACGATTGTTGAGAACTGAAGGTGTACCAGACAAATGCTTAGGACTACTAAGCAATCCACACACACCAACACGCATGAATCAAGGACCTAGAAGTAGTGACCAGCTGAGCTCGTTTGTCAATCAGTGGGTTTAAAATCAATGAACCATGAATTTATGATATAGTGTTACCGCCAGTCAAGTTTCACACAAGGACAAAAAGCAAATTGTCTAACGCTTTTTAGTTTTCACTAATTCTCAAGCTAGTTTCGATGAAATCTACAATGAAATTGATCACATCCCTGCTAACTTAATATTTGAATATTAATGCGATCTGTTAAAGGGCATTCATATTATATTACATAAAATACTTACGAACTTCAGTATACTTTCATCCACTAAATAAACTAAGAATATTTAAGTATTGTTTACCGGGATTTCATGAGTTTCAAGTTAGATCGTCAGTTAGCAACAGTTGGTGAAACAGTGAAAACCAGGAAGTTATAAATTGGGACCCCATTCATAGTCGTACAAACTATATACACTAACTGGATCAATTCTTCCTGCAAACTAATTGGCTATACTATGCATGTTCCAAAAAGAGTTATTAAATATGATACTTTTTGTAGGATGAGTTTCTTTTGTAGTATGTTTTGAAGACACACAACCCAAACAACAACTGATCATTAACAATTCACACCGTTATTATGCATCTTGTAATTTACTTAACAGCTGCATGCATTTCAATACGCTGGACAATAAATCCTATTATAACATAGTTGGAGGTAATCGGCAGGAAGCTTCGGACCCAGGTTTTTTGCTTGTTGGCACTCGTCAGAAAGGCGTAGCTGCAATCTTGAAGGAACTCATATCCATCTTGAGATCCAAACCCATGTCAATCAGTACTGCAGTCAGAAACGTCACCACTGAGCTATTCGGGCTAACGATTTATCTCCTACAGCACTGTATTGGATACTTTCTTTGGACATTATTTAGTTACTAGTGTCCAAGAAACTATATTCACTGTACAAAGACTGATGAAACAACTTAACGACTTAAACGTGGTTAAGTGGAGTCCACAGTTCAAAATCATCACCTCAAACTTTTAGGTGGAACTTTAGAACTGTCGTCTTTCCACTGAATAGATTCTACTAGTGATATACCATTTCCATTAATGAAAGCATTAAACAATTAATAATATTTTTCGTTGGATAATATTTCAAATATGTATCCCTTACCAATAGGCTGTACTTGTCCTCATTTTCATTTTTAGTTGTTGCAAAGGAACCTGATGACGATGAAGACGACGAGGCAAATGAAGGAATTGCTACTGGTGTTGTCGTTGTCATTGCTGTTGTCTGTAATGACAATGGCGCACAGCTGAAGCTTAGTTTATCAGTAACAACAGACAATTTATCATTCTCCTTTAATTGAATTAATTTTGACATTTTATTATCTTTACTTGTTGTAGAAGGTAATGTTCTGGAGAGTCCAGTTTTCAAGGAAAGATTATTAAAACAATCTTCAAATAAGTTCCGACCACTAATTCTTTCTTCTTGTTTAATTAGTTTTCTTGGAGAAATGTTTGATTCATTGTGAACAGCTTTACGTTTTGTTAATTTTGAAAGTTTTGAAACAAATTTTTTAGCTTTGAATGCATTTGATACTGACATTAGTTTGGATTCTATAAGCAGAAACAAATTAATTAATTAATTAGTCAATTAATACACCAATGACTTAATATAGATTGTTCAAGTTGTTAATCATTTCAAGGCTCTAACCTGCATACAACATATCTGGCCTCATGACTATCACTATTCGACAACTCAAACCAAATAGATTGAGTAGGGTTTGAATTGAAAACTAATATACCGCCATACAGTTAGAAGGGAGTCATTATTTCTTCAAAAACTGCACTACTTGTATCAGACAAAACTACTTACAAGTGGAATAAACAAATTGGCCCAATTTATTAAGATTATAGAAATGTCCATTGTCATTTATTATATTGTCCTTCCATATTACTATTCTTCTTCCTTAATATTTCTGTTTATTATCTCTGTTTTGAATCTCTCTCTCCACTCTCTTCTCTTGTTTTGTGTGCTACAACATGGAGTATGACAACTGGAACTGCTGCACATCTGTGCAAAGTTCTATGTTGAAAGCAGTCTCAGTCAGCGTCATTAATTAAATTCATATTCACAGGGGTTTTTAACTATTATTGTTATTTTATTTGTTATTGTGCAATGCTAAACTCAAATTATCAGTTCGTCGGCCTACCTATCAGGTAGCTAGTACCATCACTTCTCACGGAATACGTGTGTTTAACTATTTTATGTATAAACCTGCATATAACTGCTCAGTCTTACTATGTACCTATTTACTGTCACTATCTGTTACTACTCTAAACCTATTTTACCCAGTATTTAATTTTATTCAAACGACTAAGTAGCAAGTCAGCTTTTATCAGTTCTTTTGTTATTCATTTGAGAAGATTCTTATTTGTTTCCCTAAAAAGTATTTCAAAATTCTTACGTAAAAACACCATTTTTTGGTTTCTTAAAAGACTAGGATACGTGAATATTCTCATTATAGTGATTATTTGTTAATAATATTAAGGTTCTCTACAGGTAAATCTTTATTCTGCCAAACTATTTCAGATTCAATAACACAGGAATGATTTGATGGAAACCTGCTAAGGGTGATTAGATTATCGTATATGCCACTTCATTTCAAACTTTATGCTTAGAAATGAATGGTATAAAATCTCAAGAATTTCACATTTCCAATTGCGTTGTTTTCACTGTTATCTGTGAATCTCTAATGATTTCACTCTAACCCTAGTTATTACAAGTCCGGGTACATAGTCAATCCATCGTAACGCGATATGGTAGGAAGAAAGGATGGCCACCAATCCCAAACCTCAAAAGACAGAATTTCCGTTCAGGTAACAAGTAAAAGTCATTTGCACAGATTGCTGCCAAAGTGATACATCAAACAGTAAGAAACAATAATAACCCTTTTTTGTTAATTTCTTAATATCGTCATCAATATCTGGTAGAATGAAACTATGGTTTGAACATATTGATACTGATATGAATCCATGAGTGAGTTTTGCAAATGAGTTCCTGCTAAAATGATCATCATTGCCTCTATCTACTTGCTTCCATTAAAATTGCGCTTACTATAAAGGTATTTAGACAAACTGGACACAATCCACTGAAAATACTTTTTTTCGCAATACCATGAGGACAGAATTAATAAAAACATTTGCTTCTCCAACTCAACATGTACTCTTTCCCAATCTATAGCTACTTCAGCAAACTTTCTTTGCACACTGAGAAAAAACAGACGGTCTCACATGTTTAAATCATATTCCAAGTCTTCTCAATTAATGAAGATTCACTACCTCTTTATCAATTGAATTACCTTTCTAAATTATGCGCTGTGATTAATCTCAAGAATACTTACTATGTTGCAGTACCTAAGGTTATATGTCATGAACCTAACGTAGATCAGAGTTGTCTGCTATGTAACACATACATCGGCTATTTAATGACTAGTTGGATATCACTCCTGAATAAGAGATGACACAGGTTAAGAAATGTTGAATAAATCTTTTATGGACTTTCTTCCAATGTTGAATGTACACACTGAATTCCAAATTACCTTAAAGTGTTATTATAAGTGAATAATAACAAACATCGATTTTAATTGGTGGATGATGACTGGCAGTGGAATCCAGGATGCGCGTTTCGTCCTATTTTGAGCTCGTCATCTGGATGTACCTGAATTTCCCAGTGAGTGATGATGCTCCCACCGAGGCTCGAACCCAGTGCCCATAGTTTCAAACGCTGAAGCGTTACCCACTAGACCACTCGGGCCACGAGAGACACCTCTTGTGCAACGGATCATACTAATTGAATCTTAGATTTTCCCGTCGATGGATTTTCAATTAAACGCCTAGACATTATCGAAGCAATTGCACAAGAAGCCGACATGTCAACCTGAGACCGACCACTTCGGTCCAATCAATCGACGGGAAAATCTAAAATTTAATTAAAGTACAAACATTGTTTCTTTTTTAAATTCTACAGATATATCAGTAACCTACAATATAAGATTTGAAAAATCTTAATTTTAAAAAATATACAAATTAAATGAATTTCTTCAAAACAAAATATTGTGACATGAAAACAGGAATATTGAATTAATTTTAAACAAAGAAATTTAAGTAGAACAGTAACATACTAAGAGTTGGTGATAACTTTGATGAAGATTCTGAACTAGTAAACGCTTTACGAGGTGATTTTTTATTGACAACTTTACGCTGACTGGTTGTTGCTTTTGTTGGCAATTTATTAGTGGATTGATGATTGTCAACAGATTGTCTTCCAATGTCAGTCGATAGTGTATCAGTTATTAAACGTTTAATTTCTACTGTTGGAATGATATCACTTATACTATAGGATTTCTGACTAGTAGATTCATCTGAACGATTTTCAATTTTCATTTTTTTCGGTTTTATTTGTGTTTTAGAAGAAGGCGTAGGAGAGCTTGTACCAGATATATCAGAACCCAATGATATATTTGACTGTGACCGTTTAACAGGATCAAGCTTTTTAACTGATTTTCGATCCGTTTTGCTACCACCTGAATAGTATTATTACATAGCAATAACAACGAAAAAAATTGATCATTAAAAGTTCAACCCAAAAAAATGCATTTAGTGGAAAACAAATGACGGCAAAGTTTAGTTTCATAATCGGACTGACATTTATTTAGTACTTGTTTGAATCTCGACATTTGATTGTAATTTTATTTTTGCATAAATCGTATGGCAGTTTGAACTGCTGCACAACTTCTGTGCAAAGTTCCGTGTTGAAACACAGTCAGTCAATTTCCGTATACTAGACAGATGAATTTGCCATAGTTATGACAAAAAAGGCTCTAAGGTTTAAGAAAAAATCAAACTGTCAGAAGATCTGTAGTTTAACTGAAACGCATCACTGACTGTTAAAACAGGTTAGTTAGAACTTCGTTACCTGATACAGACAGATCTATCGTGCACCAAAGTATGACCGCTAACACCCCCTCTATTCCCAACTCTCTTCTTGCATCTCATCAGGTAGAACCAGAAATCAGTACAAAATAATATATGCTCGTACAACCAAGTATAGGAACTCAACGATACCATATTTGGCCCGTGTTCTAAGTGACAGAGACAAAGTTAAGCGTGAAACCTATGACTTGCTTTGTTGTTAATAACATAATTTTGGCCCTTGTTATTTCCCCCTTACACTCTCTTATTCGTACTCTATAGTGAATAACCTTCTTAAACATACTTAGCTGCTTAAAATTATTATCATTGGCTTACATTTTTTATTCTTTATTCGATTCCTTCTTTGTACATCTACTGGGGTCAGACTATATTATCACTATGATTATTAAAAATTTGTCCCGTCATTAACCATCATGTTACATTAGTTTTGTGGTTGTTCTTTGTTCGGCACTATTTAACTGACAATCTTGTTTGTTATTGCCACTATCACCATCTTAAAAATTTTGCATTATGCATGATTCCTCACACTACCACTACAAACACTGCATTAGTGCTGACAATAAAAAAAAACACAACCTGAAATGTTTATCTTATGATTGCTTAGTGTTGTTCAATCAAATTAACTGATCATCTTAGCTATAAACATTTTTTTAAGAACATCTCATAATTTCCCGTATGATTATAGCTGTTACTGTTCACCACGCATACTCATATCGTAGCTTCCACTAACCAATACTGAAATATTTTTTCATTATTTGTGTTTATCTTCCTTTTTACTTGGTATTTTTATTGCATTTTTTTGTTATTTCTGTGTTTCTTTTTTGGTTTTTTTTTGTTGTTTTTTTTGTTTTTTTAAATATTTTTTTATAATACTCCTTTTAAATGTACGATGAAATTAGATGCAATATTGTAGATATGTGCTGAAAATTCCACACTGTACCACAAGTACTGTTTTTGGAATAAAGCGAAAATTGTTATTGTTATTATTGTTATTATTTTTAGTGTGTGTGTCTGTGTATGTGTGCTGATGACATTAGCCAAACAATAAAACTAAAGGATATAGGCCGGGATTTCGAGATAGGAAAAGTCAAGTGCTAAAGAAAATGAGCCACAACTTCAAAGTCCTAGAAATAAAGTTCTATGTAGGAAGCAGTTTTCTAATGCAGAAAACAGCCATGCTTCCACTTTCTTTCTCTATCAAAAAAAAAAAACAAACGAAAACGATTTGATGAAAATTGTTTGTTAAACGTCAGATACATTGAAAGAGTGCAACTGTTCTATATATGAGTAATACTCATGATTCATATCTATTTAGCTTTGATGAGCTAATTGGTTACTTTAACTGAATTGTTACCAATTACAATAACTAAAAGGGAGAATAATAAAGAATCAAACCTAATAAGTCTGTGTACTTTCTCATTCTTCTTCTTCTTCTTTATGGAACAAACAATTACCCATAAACAATAAATGCAATCACCGTTAAATAAGTGCGACACAACAATAAAATTTACTAAAATTGATAACATTGCGTCGGTGGCATAGCGGTTAGGACGCTCGCCGACATGCACATGATCCAGGGTTCGATCCCGGGCCACCGACGCACTTCTTTACCTCACTAAGCCAGAAATAATGCTGGTGAAGAGGAAAGGTTGGGCATGAGGCTAGCAACCCCATCCTGTAAAAGTAAACACTGCTACAGAAACTTCGAGCCACTAGCTTGAGGACCCATGTTCCACTGGGAACGTGAAGGAAAAAAAATTGATAACAACGTGATTCAGTAATTAGCAGATATGAGAACCTGTTACTCACTAATGAATAAGTCTGTCTGTCTGTTTTCGACATAGAACTTTGCACATATGTGCGGAAGTTCAAGTCGCCACATTCCGTGTAGCACGCGAAGCAAGAGAAGAAAGTACAAGAAAAGCATAATAGAAACAGTGAGCAGAGGTGTGAGACAAAGGAGTAATAAAGAAATACAAAACAGTTTCATTGAAGATCATAAGTCACAGGGAGTGGATGCATCTGCGCCACTGAGAACGATTTTGAGCCATGTCACCAATTGTTTCCAACCATAGATTTTTACCGTCTCGAATAAGTAGAGTTCCTAAACCGAAGAGCCTTAGTTGCATTACATAACAAGTAAACTGTGAATAATAATAGTGTGACGATCATAATAGGCAATCAGTAAATTATGACCAAACGATATAATAATGTATTTTTATTATTTATAACAATAGTTAAACTAGATAAATTTAACCGACTGACTTCAGATGATGGCAAGGATGAGGAGTGAGTGACTTTTTCCGAATTTTTCGTCTTGGGCTTAAAGATGGATAAGTTGGTAAGAAGTTAAGAAGGTCAGACAGTCTTAGAATAGACTATTTCTAAAGTAATTGTATAATCACCCCAATAGTATTCATATATTTGACATACTTCATGCCTGAACACACATTAAAAGTTAACTACACTTTTTGTGAATCACAACAGAAGTTAGGTTAATACTATTTGTTTAAAACACGACAGTACAATTGTGTACTTAAGACTTCCTCCTATACAATATATTCAGCTAAATTCGTTTTCTATGTGTAGCAATATATAAACACAAAATGACTTACGTGAAGTTGTTTTCGCCTTTTTGACAATGGAATCTGTGTTCAACTGTTTGCTTTCTTCAGAAATATTAGTCTTAGTAACATGTCGATGAGTCTTGGGCAGATGGAAACGCGACAACAGAGGTAATTTCGATAATCTCTGTGAAGAAGATTCATTTCTTTTTGAAAGGGAAGATGGTTTCCGAGATGAAATTTGCCTACCAGGTTTATGTGATGAAAACATTAATCGACGACGTCGAATAATCGGTGCTGTTGTGGTAATATTATCCGATGCTGTTTCAGTAGTTTGACTTTGATTACTGTCGTCATCTTCATGTTCATTATCATCTTCTAAAGTTGACTCATCTTGTGCTTCTTTATCTGCTGATTCCTTTTCAGCAACTTTTATATCTGTTGAACTTGATAACTTAGTACAAATATCTTTTGAAAGTGATTCATTTCGGATTTTTATTGTATTGCCTTTTCGAGGTTCATGAACAATTGGACTGAGAGAAGAACAAGATGGTGGACGACCTTCATCGACACCACGACCCCACTCTATCACAGAACTAAACATAAGAGGGAAAATGTGAATAGTTAATTGAGTTAAACGCAACACAATGGATGTAAAATGGTCCAGGTACATAAAAAGCAATCCGTGAGCACATAATTAAAAGTATAAGAGTCTACTCTAAAAAAATTAGAAAAAGTTATGTCCAAACGATTGTTTACTATATCTGTATGTCGTACATCTAAGACTCATCTAACACACTTCAACCTATTATGTTTGTTTTTTTGGTTTACTTCGTTTATTATCCATTGCTTTTGTTTTCAACATCTAAAAAATCGGATATTCATTCTACAATCCTCCCTGCACATCAACTTTATGTTTTCTTGTATCAACAGAATAAAGTTACAACTCTAATCTTCGTTAAGTGCCGGTGAAAAAAAAATTAAACAACACAAGGTAGGAACTCATTCAGTTTCTTTAAAAACTTCATGAATGGATATCTACATCCTAAGCTAGCATGTCATGTAATTGAAACGTACAGTACAAAATTAGAGGTTATAATTTCTTACATTATACGAGATCTAGGAACAACTTCATCGTGTCGTGTATTCCAACCCATATAGTGCACACGATATTGTATATCGCCAACACCTGCCCAAACAGCAGCAGCAGAAGTTGGTATTGTTGATGACCCGTCAGCACTATCGGTCTTTCGACTACAAATACTTGGTTGAGGACGTATATGTTTTAAAACTTTAGCTTCATACGCAACATGATCACCACAACGAACTCGAACACGCGAACGAACAGGAATAATCTAGAAAAAGCCAAAATAATAGAATGATCTTAAAAAATCTACGAGAAAACTTAGATATAACGATGGCAACTGTTCATATTAGGAGGAAGAATATGGTAAGTAAGTTTGTGGGTAGGCTTAAAGTTTCGGACAGGAACGGCAAACTCATTCATAAATTAGTGAACCTGTATGAACTTAAGACTTATCGACTGCGTAATCTAGCTTACTGTCTCCAACAACGAGTAGTATAAGATGATGTAAGATTACATTAGAAGAAAATAAAAGTAGTCAGAATAATCAATGTGAAGTTATCGCATGATAAAAAGGAGGCAGATCAAGATTACCTGCTAGGGCTTGGCAACATGATAAGGAACAATCGCTGTTTAATGTTAATGATGAAATGACTTCACATCTTTTACAGAAGATGAGCTAGATTCATTCTTTAACACCTCCGAAATTCCGAAAGTTTTCAATATTCTTCATTAAATTATTTCCTCTCCCACATTCATACTAGTCTATTGAAGTATAGTTGTGTTTTAATGCGCTTCTTTCCTGTTATTCTGATATGCACAAACCTGAACAGCCCCACTGATATGCATTCTTGCAAGTTGATTTATCTATTTACTTAAAAGTAGTTTCTAATTTCAGAAATAATTGGTTTGGGTTCAAATGCTACAGAGAATATTAAAGTGTTAAAGTGGTAGATGTGCGTCGGTGGCATACCGGTTAGGACGCTCGCCGATCATGCACATGATCCGGGGTTCGATCCCCGGCCACCGATGCACTCCTTTACCTTGCAATCCGAAATGCACGCGAAACCTTTTACCTTGCTAAGCCAGAGATAATGCTGATAAAGAGAAAAGTTTGGGCATGAAGCTAGTAACCCCATCTTGTAAAAGTAAACACTGCTACAGAAACTTCGAGCCACTAGCTTGAGGACCTGTGTTCCACTGGGGACAAGAAGGAAAAAAAAGTGGTAGATACAGTAGGTATAAAATCTTGATACACAATTATCTGTTAACACCGAGAATCAGTGTATACCATAACATTGTGTCTTTTAATTTCGTAACAGTACTACACAACTGATTGATATACTCATAACAACAGTTGCAGCCCGTCAGGTTGGTTGCTTAGCATATGATGACCAAATTGTACGAGTAAACCTGTTTTATGTGGAATTATTTAATCTACACAAAGGTAAAAAGCGAAACCCGAATATTTTCGATTCGTGGCTATTATCTCGCATCTATGCTACCTTTTACTAAGACCTGCATAGATCAATGAGGTAGGTTGTAATTCCACCAAAAACAAACAACCGTGGAACATTGAACAAATCTACGCATATTATTTGCATCCAATAAATAGGTTTTGAAATATATGTATATATATATCAGCACCTGAAAACGGTGCAATAAGAATATCCATAAACACTTCGAAATCAGAAATATGCGTGAACATATATGGGAAATAAACAAAAATAACACGTAAACATACACGATTAGATAAGTCTCCCATAGCACCAATGCATTCTCTACCGAAGTTTATCAGTGGAATATCTGTCATTGTACTGTCATATGACCTTTTACGAAATGCAGACTTTGATGAACTATTTGATGAAGCAGAAGAAATAGGCCTATCTGCACCATCAGTTACAGATGCAGTCTTAGACAACTTATCATCTGATGAAGTAGACTTTCGTAGCGGTGTAGCTTGACAGGTGTATTCATCATCCATGGCCTTGAGATAAGGAGCCAATTGTTGGTCAACAGCCTGAAAGTATACAAAATTATAAATGAAATTATGAAAATCGAAATAACAGACAAAGTAGGTGATACATGTCAGATGAACGAAATATGAAAGAGCAGAAAATTTCACATAACGTCAACACAATTTACAAGATTACAAAACAAAAATCACTTACACAATTTTTATCAGAAGCTCGCTTTTTACTGAGGGAAGTGGTAGTGGTGCTAGTAGTATTGGTAACTGCTGTGGTTTTGCTTTCCTCTGTTGATGAAGCTTGTGTTATTTCAGCCGAATCCAAAATACTACTCTTCACACCCATTTCTAAATTACCAGAATCTTGGGATTGTTTCTCGCGTGAAGAAAATAACTGCAATTTAGTGCTATTAGTAGATGCAGAAGTACTGGCAGACGCTGAACTATTCGTCGTAGGTGCGGAAGTTGAACCACTAACTTGAACAATAGGACTTGCGTTTTGTACTGAAGAAGAATATCTCGGTCTAGGAGATGGAAGCTCACAAATATTTGTGCCCAATTTCTTCGTGATGTCATCCCATGGATACAAATATCTGTGTAACAAACAAAACACCCATTAGAATATATATATATATATATATATAATCAAGAACAATCAAATACGAAAAGTACTAAAAGTACTCACTTCTTTTTAATAATAATAATATTAACAGCTTTATTCCAAACGGTACTCACTTCTTAAAGGCAGCTTGAAGATTTCGGGGACCACCACTCACATTCTGAGGTAAATCCATCTTAGAATAAACATAACCCCATTTGAGTTGAGAAGTAACACGATGAAATCCACCAAGTTTTTGAACCAACTAAACAAACATATGCACAGAAAAAAGAGCAGTTCAAAAATTAATTAAAATGATTATGTAACCGTAATATGAACTTTATAAAGTTAAACAAAAAACAACAGACGTTGGGTAGTCCCAAAAAAATATTCAAGACATGCTAATATTTTTATAGGATCTGTGAGATAGATTTAGTGAAAAAGGTAATCTATAAAAAATGAATGAAAATTGATTGAAGAAATCTCTAAACCCTCCACAACCCTCTTGACACTTTCTGTTCATTTCTTAGTCTCCCTTTTAAAAACATGGATTCACAGCATGTCTATGCGTAATCATTGCATACAACTAAGGTGTATGCAAGCATACAGAAACACTGAATTTATTGACGGGTTGATGTACAAAACTAATAACAGAATCCTAGAATCTGTGGTCCTTTTCTATATTTATTCTCTTGTACACAGACAAAGTGGAAGACATGAAAAGGCTAGAGTCTTGGATCATCAGTGTCTGCTTTCGATCTCCTGTATCAAGCGAGGCAAGGTGGGCAATATTGAGGTTAGGCGTCGAGTGCTAGCTAAGGAGGCGGTAATCAATAGACGAGGTTGTGAAGTTAAATCGATTGAGATGGTTAGAACATGTGTTTTACGTATGCCTGTCTAGTCATCGCCTTCCTCGACGGAAAATGTTAGCTGATATAGGATGGATCAGCTTGGAAAAGTCAGTGGTGTTCAAACCAAAACATGACTCCATCAGTCAATGAAACCCACAACAGTTAGTTTAAGCCAGCCACGTAGGGAGGTGTCGACTTCGTGACTGGTTAGGGTCCTGAATATGGTAAAAACCAATGGCTGGAGACAACTGTTGATATGGCTGGCATAGTGCATCCACTCCTTGTGACTTACAATATCCAATAAAACTATATTGTTTTTCGATGTTGCTATTCTTTTTGCTTCGTATCTCTGTTTACTGCCTCTATTATGCATTTCTCCTTGCTTTCTTCTCTTGCTTTGTCTGCTAAGTGAAGTGTGACGACTCGAACTGCTGCCCATCGGTGCAAAGTTCTACGTGGAAACCCGTCAGTCAGTCACACACAGACAAGAAGACCAATATGGAATCCAGCCGAAAAGTGAATCAATTCAAATTACCACACTTCATGACAGAACGAAAACAGAACTTGAACAATAATACAACAGGATAGAAGTTAACAGATAAGGGTATTGGAGTAGGAAGATGAATTACTGAAATTGACTGAGTATATGTTGAATTCTGATGGCAGAGTGTAAGTGAATTTCCGCCATTTAGACCAATTTTTCCTAACATTCATTGAGATGCTGTAGCCACGGATTCTACAAACTCCAAAGGTTTTAGCTAGACAGTTTTTTCTTTCATACAAGTATCGGACCTACAGAAAAAAAACGTCATATACCCTAATCTGGACAGTAGTGGTTGAATTTCAACATGTCATCTTAGTGAACCATTTTCATCAAAAATGACTGTATGGCTGGATGACACAGAAAGACAAGGTACCATCCCTAGTAGTGTGGTGTTGTGATACAGATAATGTGTGCCATTGGAGCATTATTGTTGCATATTCCGGCAGTTCAATTCGGCATTAGCAACAATATACGATATATCTATCTGAACATTTTATTTGATGTTAGAGTCGGAATGTTATTCCCACAGTTCAATACAGCATACCATATATCCATTTGAACATTCTATTTCATGTCGTTTGATTTAAACCGAAATCACTATCTCAGTGATTGGTTAAAGAATATAAACTGTACATATACAAACGACTGTTCCATGAATGAAAGATATACTTTGCCATCCGTGTCTTGTCTTCTATTGTTCCGTTTGCTGTGGGTAAGTATTCATATAAAATGTTCGAATATATATATATATATATATATATATATATATATATATATATATATATAGTATTCTGTTACTAATGCTGAATTGAACTGTGGGAATATGTGACAATAATGTTCTATTGGCACACATTATCTGTATCGTACCACCACAGTAGGACTGGTTAAAGATAACTGAACCAGAAACTGACTACTTAGGAATATGCTAACAGCAGGTCTTATAATACACCCTCACTTTCATTTGTTTTAAAGAGATGATTAGCAGAAAGCCCATGTTCATCTGCAAGGTATAACTGACACTAATTTATTTAAGGAAACTATATTTAACACATCGGAGACATATCTAACTTCTCATCAAAAATGTGTACAGTGCAGCAGTTTGCTCTGACCTACTCCAAGAGTGACGGACATGGTTACTGAAGTAGGCGTAAATCTTGGTAATACCAGTGATATGTAGAGTGAAGTAAAAAATTGTGCAGTGTTTTAGATAAGGGGATACACTATTCTTTTTTTAACTAGGTAACTGTGAATCAATATTATTTAAATTTGCCAGGACGATCAGAATATTTATTGGTGGTGTAAAAATAATTATTATTGCCATGATCAAATCAGCTGTGATAAATAAAGATTTCTCAGATTATTGAGATTAATAAATTATAGTCTCAAATAAACCTTGCCTTTTCACAGTAAGAGAAGTGACATTATGATAGATAATGACACATTGCATAAGTCGAAGTGTTGGGGATGTATAACAGCGGTCTTCCCATTCCGTAACCAATCAGGTTGACAAGATTTAAAAGCAAGTGTTTTCCAGTTACTTAAGGACGTAACTCAGACTTCTGTTGGCAACCATCACTTGTTTACAATACTAACTGGTGAGATCGACAGGTCAGCAGCCAGTATCCATTCTGTTCATTCATACCGACCAAATAACCAGTCATTGCACCGCGATGCAGCAACAATTTAAAAAGTCACAACGAAGTTTACCAAGACATCTTTCACGCGTTTTAGCCATTTACCTTCAACAACAACAACAACAACAAACAGTAACACCTGCAGTGGGACGACAGTATAGAAAAAGCTAAAGATGATCGAAGCAGTTCACGACACGGAAATTATCAATACACTAGTTACTGACTTCCGCTATACAGAAAAAGTTTCCGAAGTATGACATATTAAAGGCGCTAAAAAAAATGGTTCGGAACTCTTCATGGTAGCCGAAAATCGACTATCCTCCTGATAAAGATAACTTGATTCAACTGTCTGTCTGTTTGTTCTCGACATAAAACTTTGCACATATGTGCGGAAGTTCAAGTCGCCACACTCCATGTAGCACACAAAGCAAGAGAAGAAAGTACAAGAAAAGCGTAATAAAGACAGTAAGCAGAGGTGTGAGACAAAGGAGTAATAACGAAGAACAAAACAGTTTCATTGGAAATCATAGGTCACAAGGAGTGGATGCATCTGCGCCACTGAGAACGATTTTGAGCCATGTCACCAATTGTTTCCTACCATTGGTATTTACCGTCCCGAGGACCCCAACCAGGAAGTCTACACCTTCCTACGTGGCTCAGACTAACTGTTGTAGATTTCATTGACTGGTGTCATGTTTTTGTTTGACAAAGTGTTTCTGAAACACAACATACATCAACGGCTCAGGACGCCGGAGTCTTGGCTAGTGATGCTTGTTGTCCTATTCAGCAAAGTGTCCTAACATTAAATGCTCCTATATGAAATTGGTGGCGTGGCTTTAAGAGACTATCGGTAGTGGCTGTTTGGCTTCCGTCGTTTTTAGTGGACACAGAGTGAAGAGGAAGTGAAGAGCCATCAAATAGAGGAGTTACATCAGTGGGAGGAAGGCAAGGTAATATAGATGAAGATGAAAACAAAGATGAGTGAGTATTAGAGAGGTTTCATGTGCATGTCGGATTATGAGGGCGATTGTTACTTCCCGGCTGCCCACACCGTGGAAGCTTGATTCAACGAGATGCATGTCTGTCATAATAGTGAATGATAGATACGGTGTTATAAAATGAAATACTTACTAAATGGGTAAGTAAGTAAGTAGTACGCATATCACTATTACAACAAATAGCAATACAATTTTTAAAACTGCCTCAGATTTAACCTAGACAGACAAGCAAAGATGAACAAAGATCTAACTATTGAAACACATAATCAAGCCCATGGATATAAAGAATGAGGGTAAATGGTTTTGTTTTCTAGTGCAACTACTAATCAAAAAAATAAATAAATAACAGAAATAACAACATTATTATGAACTTACTTTGTACAGTTTATATAAATCTAGATCTTTGTTGGCTAAACTAGGAGCTTTGTTGATTGGAGTGCCACGTTCATCCATAAATCGATATAACTGAGCAATCCACCTATCACGTGCTTCAAATCCAGCTACTGATGAAGTTGATGAACGATCTGGAGATGCACATGATGCAGTTGTACTACTACTACTGTTAATACTGCTACTAGTACTATTATTAGTACTGCTGCTACTGCTAGTACTCCCAGTGCTACAACTACTAGTGATACTACTGCTGCTGCTACTTAAACTACTAATAGTGCTACTTACAGAGGATGATGACTTATTAGTGCTGGAGCTGACCAGTGAACTTAGTGATCTCGTATCAGAGGTATCTGATTCGACAGAATTCGAAGAAGTTCCTTCATCAGAACTAGTTGAATCAGAAGAATCATCATCTGATTTTTGAGATTTCATGTTTTCCTTTGCGTTTTCATGTTTCGTCGCAGTTGACCTTTTAGAAAATTCATTAGAAGATGCATCATCACTCTGGTTATCACCAGTGGTATCTGAACGTAAAATTTGAGTTTTCAATCGTTTCACTTTCAATCGACAACTTGATCGAGGACTTTGAGTTTTGTCTGATAGTCTGGGTCGTTTACGAGCTGCTTTGTCAGATTTATTGACTGACCGTGTTCCGCTGGATTTCTGAAAATTTTCACGGCAGTTGTTTGCAGTGTGTGAAGCTTCAGAGGACGCAGGTGACGAAACACGTGAGTGCTTTAAGTTTGGAGGACTTAGAATCGTTGAATCTGAAAAATCTGAACCTGTTAGTTTACAACGGCGTTTTAAAGATCGCCAGTCCTTTGTGCCTAGCATTAACTCTATAGAATTCTCACCCCAAGAAATTGGTAATTCACATCGGTCTAACCATAGAAGTGCACGCTCGAAAGCTGAACGAAGAGTTGGGTGACTGTGTGAGATTTCAACTGCATCAGATCTTTTAAGGCGCCTTACAAATGCAACCGACACCGCAAAAAATTTATTGTCCTTAAATGAACGAACCAAGAGTTTGTAAGATGGGGTCTTAACATCATCCTCATTAACACCATCACTTCCGATGCTCTTAGAAGTATTTCCTAGATCAATACTAGGCATAGCAGAAGGTAAAACGACAAGAGCTGGGGTGAATCGGCGTCTAGATAATAGGCTAGGACTTTTGACAATTGGAGTAGACGATCCATGTGTCGGAGAGCCAATACAATCTACAATAGGATGAAAAGTACATAAATGACAAGATCGACAAAAGAAGTTACATAACATAAACTTCTGAAGATGAACTTACCTTTAGCGGTTAGTGGCATATCTACCATGACTAAACGTCCAAGTAAACGACAATAACCAGTAGGTAATTGCTTTATATCCGTCGCCACTACATCCGATTTACTTTCAGCCTTAGATTGGGATAATTCGGCTTTCTCTTCATCAACACTAATTTCTGTTATGGCTGGACAATGTACATCTCCATCAATTTTACAGTTCAATGAAATATTCTTATCATGATCTTCTGTCGGTTCCTCCGGCTTTATATTATGATCGGATACATTCTCATTAGACACCTTGATATCATTTTTCACACTGACATTTTCTTTTTTAATTTCAGGGACATTGGCATCCATGGTACTACTTTCTTCACTGTATTAATTTTTAAAAAAATGAAATAATAAAACTATAAGAGGTGAATTCTTACAAACACGTGTTACACATCCAAAAACGACAAGTTCTATAATTATAGTGATGAACTGCTAGTTACTGAAGTGGTATCTAATAGGTCACGTTTTCTGACCTTTCCAAGTTCATTAGTTCTAAGACCGGAAAAGACGGAAGGTTGGGGATGGGACTAACAACCTCACACTGGAAGGTTACCTCAGTAGCTACAGAAACTTCAAAACATGACCATAATACGCAAAATAAACACCGTTCGCTGGAAACGGGTAGACGAAGTGCTGTAAGCTGGTCAAAGCCTGTGAGGCCAGTCAGCCGATCTCTTCTATATGGGTCAGAAACTTGGCGAGCGCGTCACCAAAAGCATTTCCAACAGACTGCAGATTACCAACAGCTGCCTTCGTTCAATACTGAAGATCGGATAGCCAGGATGAATTAGCAACAAGAAACTCTGGGAACCAACGAATCAAGAACCTATTGCTCAACAAATAAATAGAAGAAAATGAAGATGGGTCCGAGGAGTGATATCGCGGCGTCAGGCCATAGCTGGAGTGTTATTCAAGTGGGAAACGTTGGGTTAGATGTTCGAGTGTGACATGGAGGAGGTCGTGTAAGGAGAAGATGGTTTATGGGTAATAGTGGAGCTAAAGAGGACTGTAAACAACAGGACAAAATGAAGATGTACTGTTTTACTCGCAACCCAAGAGAATAATATTAGTGAACTAAATTACCGAATTGTGAAACAAATAGGCAGAAAGAAATGGAGATGGATTGGCCATACGCTGAGGAAACCATCAAGTGACATCACTAGACAAGCCCTCGAGTGGAACCCGAAAGGGAGGCGGCGAGTTGGTCGTCCAAGGGTGACTTGGAGGAGGTCATGCGAGGAGGAGATGAAAGCATGTGAACAGACCTGGAGCAGGGTGAAAAAGTTGTCAGAAAACCGAAGTCAATGGAGGTGCGCAGCTGAAGCCCTATGTTCCTCTAGGAACTAAAGGATACAATAATAATAATAAATTACCGAATTGGAACCTTGCACAAAAGTGCAACAGCTTAAGTTGAAGTATCATTTCACTGTAGTCCGATGCTGTCCAATCTAACTTACCAACGGGTCACAGTTTTTATTGGAATTTCGGAAAAATCATATCAATGTTAGTCAATAAGGAGTGGGTAGCAGCTGAACTATAAAGTTTGTGAGAAAGAATTCATCGACAACGTAAACAAAGCTAATAATGGGGATAGTCACTCAGTGGTTCGTTATGTGATAGCGACGTTATATCTAGAGTCGGCTGAAATTGGAAAAGATAGGTCATCGTTGACAGAAAAGTGACAGCATTTGGTGGTTTCAGACTTAACAGTTTTATAAGATTGAGGATGAATAGTGTTTAGGGCCCTAAACAGGGTAAAAACAATCGTCCAGGGCCTATCAGTGAATTAATTCAACATGAGACCATTCAACTCTCCTAACACCTATTCACTTGATTAACTGTCAATAAAGCCAACATACATGTCTACAGAGGTAGAATATTTCGGTCCAATATTATTATAATTCAAAGGGAAATACAAAACTGACTTGAATAAATAACTTTAATTTGCTCCATATCTAGAGCACTCAGTAACCCTATTTGAATGTGACGATTTTAAGCGTGATACATTGAATCTATCTACAATTAAAATAGCTTTCATAACTTTTAGACAGTTGTATTTTTGTACAATGATAATAATATTGAAAAAAAAAGACTCAAGATTTTACAAAACGAAGGAAAGAACTTCTAGTAGACCATGTAGAATTTACGAAATATACTGATATTATGTTAGCACTAACTACTTACCCCGAACGATGTTTCCTTCGTTGATCTATAACCGGTTGTCTAAACTGTTCTGGATTTGTTAAAGGTAAAGAATCCAAGCTCTTAAATATGAAAAAAAAAAAAAACAGAATTATAAACAAAATACACTCAATATTAAGATGAAGCAAAACGAATAAAACAACAAACTCTCAATGCTTAAAATGTTAATGCATAGAGAGTTAAGCGTTTTAAGGTATACGTTGATTTTAATAGGTATAGAAAAAGTCCATGTGTTAGTATTATTATTATTAGCTGGAAAATGCCAAGTGATAAGCAGACTTATACATGCACAGAAAATGACTGCAAAAGCTATTTTACTACAGTTGCAATAAATTTACGGAACCGAAAGGAGGCGTACAATGTATCACTATTGATATATGCTACAATGATTACGAATACAACAAAGCAAGAGTTTATGTAAGGACAGCTAAGTTGATTAACAGTCAGATACACTGACTACGTGTAGTAGTGGGTACTGAAAGCCAAATAATGGAATGGAGATCCAATACAGGATGGATCTAATTCTCAGATAATGCAAGACAATATGTAACTGTTAAATAAAAATGCAACCTCATCTAGTTAACCAGCCTGTCAGTTTTCTAGCCATTTCTAAGCCCGGGTTAAAAGGGAGGGTAGGACATAAGCTATCAAAATGCTTGAGAAACTTCAACACACCAAAATATATTTGAAATACGAAACACTCAATGTACGATCTTATTTCTCGCTGCAACAGCAGAGTCGATATGACACAGCGACCTCATGAGAGCCACCTTGGAGAAGCCAGTCAGCCAGCTCATGCGTCTCCTTTCAATGGAAGTAAGAATAAGAAAGGGGACGTGAAATGTCCGTACAATGTACGAAACTGGCTGGGAAGGCTGCCCAGGTAGCCAAAGGAATGAGATATGGAATAGGAGTGTTAAAGATCTGTAAGAGCAGGTGGAATGGATGTGGATTATCGAAATTGTCAACTGGTGAGTCAGTAATCTACTCCAGTCCGGTCACCCAGACGACAACCACGAGCACACTGAGGAAGTGAGTGGCTATCATGATGCACCAGTGGCACCCAAAGCCTTAATGCAGTCGGATCCAATATCATCCTTCAGGATCATGACAGCAAGATTCAACTCAAAAGGAAGGAAGCAAGGTCATAATTATCATGCAATGCTACGCACAGTGCTACAGACAACAACGAACAAGACAAGAAGGGAGACTTTTACAGACAACTACAAACAGTAATGGACAACACCCCAAATGGTAACATCAAAACCCTCATGGGCTATATGAATGCCAGACGAACTGGGACCTGATGATACAGAAAGAGAACTCATCATGGGTCAAGAGGCTCTCCGAAAAACCAATGAGAACGGAGAACTATTTACAGGCTTCTGCACTTTCAGTGATTTGGCGATCGAAGGCAGCATGTACAAGCACAAGGATATATACAAGGCCAGCGACATGGATCTCGCCTGACGGACACACCAGAAACCAGACAGATTTCATCTCACTGTTGTTGTTCAAGAAAGTGGAGACACAGCCAGTCTGCTGGACACAAAGTCCACAAGGGGAGCAGATATGGTCTCAGACTATCATCTAGTTCAAGGAACCTTCAAGGTGAAGATGAAATCTCTGAAAACAAGTGGAGACAGACTGTAATTCAAATTCAACATTCAGAAACTCAAGGCAAAAACTACAAGGGATACCTTCACTACATATCAAATAAGAGCAAAGGTTGGAAAGGAGCCTGCTTATTGGAATAAAGGCTACTTCGTCAATCTACCAAAGAGAGGTGACTTAAGTCTTCGCAATAACTTGCTTGGAACAATTTCCTTGTACACTTCAAACAAAATAAAGTCGTGTCATTATGGAGAGAATACAAGATGCTATGGATGCAGAACTCCGCCACCCACCGGAACAAGCTAGATGCAGGAAAGGCAAATCATGTGCTGATCAAATCGCAAGCCTATGCATCTTCATCACAGAACAAAGCATAGAATGGTACTCGACTCCACTCTCTATTAAAGTCATTCAACAGCTGCCTATATGGCAGTCACGTATCAGGTGATCCACAACGGAAATCTCAGCTAGGCATGTGAAGTGGATACAGGAGTAAGATGAGACTACCTATTATCACCGATGATATTCTTGACTGTGGTAGACTGGATTATGCGTCAGACTGTGGGGAGTGAGAGTACAGGGATATGCTCAACCAATGAAAAGAGGACCCTAGAATATCTGAATTTCCCAGATGATTTATATTTAATGTGACACAAACTCGAAGACTTCGAGGCAGGCGAAAACCAACAAACTGGCTGAAGAAGCAGGCAGATACTTGTTGTTAATTGTAACGTAATGTGAAACAATTAAACGAAGCACCATCGATATTAGATTAGCTGCTGACATATAGAAAAATCCTATTCGGAAAAAAAATACTTTATATGCTGTAGCTTTCATGAAGATTCATTTCAGCACAGTAAAACACAGTTTTACTTTGTTAGCTACTGGTAACACTAATGAAAATTGCACAGAATTGATTTCAATTGCTAGAACAATTCATCAATAAATAGTAATAACATTATTTTGACAATAACTAAATGAAATATACAAAACAATTATTTATTCCACTCACTTCGCTCTCTTTGAAATGCCGTTCACCTTTGAGAACAAGTTGTGTACGTCTTAAAGTTCGCCTATCACCATCATCGAATACTAGACAATTCCAAGTTGTAGAAGAAAAATGAGTTAGAGGGACCTAAAAGGTTACACAATTTACGCACACAAAAGCCACCATACTTCATATGTGCCTGTATACACGTACAAATTAATTGGAGGGCATGGGAAATAATAACAAAAGTCATAAGAAGCCTTCAATAATTTCTATGGATTCATGATACGTTTGTTCTAATTCCTCCTTACAGTTTAGTTCTGATTCAGTCATCACGGCTTACAAGCGTTGACACATATGACATACCTCTCTACCGACGAAATTGATAGAACCTTAAGACTACATTGATTTGATTGCCCCACTTATCTAGATCTCTCTACGTTTTAATACACTGGAAGGATGATATGGTAATAATGATCACATACCTGAAACCTGAGGCTTACCACATTCGGCGATCATGATCTAAATAGTAGGTAAAAATATGACTATTTGCGTCACGGTGTACTTAGGTAAATAGAAATCAGTGCTATTTCCTTGTTATTGACGTCACATTAAAAGTGAGCGAGATTTAGAGTTTCTGGGTTAATCATCCTTAGGCTGAGTAGAACTTTATGGTTTAACGTTAATAGCAATGCTTCTATATGGTCAAAATTAAAATAGTACCAGGCAATTATGAACACAGATATTACCATTATGAAGCGAAGCCTATACATCATAGTGATTACAGCGGCCCAACCCTGATATGATTACGAGCAATAAATTCTGCTTGTAACACCATCAAATTATTTTTTTCCTTCACGTTCCCCAGTGGAACATACGGCTTAAAGCTAGTGGCTTGAAGTTTCTGTAGCAGTGTTTATTTTACAGGATGGGGTTGCTGGCCTCATGCCCAACCTTTCCTCTTTGCCAGCATTATTTCTGGCTTAGCGAGGTAAAGGAGTGCGTCGGCCGGGAATCAAACCCCGGAACATGTGCATGGTCGGCGAGCGTCCTAACCACTATGCCACCGACGCACCATCAAATTATTAATACTGCATTATTGTGTTAGATAAAATAAACTAGTGTGAAATTATATTCTACTGCAGTGCTCCATTCCTACTCTTACACAAGATAATTAGCACTTAAAAATACGTTTAAAACATTGAAGGAAAAAGGGGAATCAGTAGAAACCAGAATCCAGAATGATAGTGATAAGCCTATAACTTTCGAACAATAGATAAACAAAACTCGCAAGTTTATTGATTTTGTTTTATTGGGTTCTAAGTTAATATTATTCATTTATATAGTGTTTTTTCTTAATTTCACAAATAAAAGCCGAAAAAAATTGTAAATTTTATTCCTAGTGATATAACTGAAATAACGAGATTTCATGTTTATACAATCTATCCTAACTTTACTAATTTTCTTTCTAACTGGAAATAACACTTGATGTGATGATGGTAGAGAACACTTCATTCGAAACATTTGTGATGAATGTGCTCACTTCACTGGGATAAAACTGTTGATTTGTACTTTACACAAAATAAATCCAGTTTCTATAGTAATGCAAATTACAGTCAGGCACATCAATTCACTATATTGAAAGAAAAGTATGGAAAATTTCGTTTAAAGAGAAAATAAGATATTCATTTTCAAATATTTAGACAAAAAGAAACACATACCAACGGAATACATGCTGGTATCTGTAACACGCGTCACTACGCCTAGTCCATTCTGTATGGGCGAACTGTTAGGAATTTGAACGACCACTTCACTACCAACAACAGGAGAACCGGATACCAAAGAGTTTTTATCAGCAAATACGATGGACTAGTTAATCACAGGAAAATGAAGGATAAGACAAGTTCAGCACCTTTACTTTAAACTAATCCACTGTAAGAATAATAAATCAAATGGTAATGAAATACAAGTTTATGGAAAAGAAAGATTACACGAACTAGGCATTATTCTTTTAAAAATAAGTCACTTGTAGTAACACGGTTGCATCAAATAATTTTGCACTGGTTTCCCGAAGATTTTTCATGTGTCGATATATCAACCACGCCTACTGTATGAGGACTGATAGTCCTACTCAGTTGTCCAGGCTAGACTAGAAGGAGTAAGATTCGAACCAGAAACTTGAGTGCTCACATCAATAAGCCAATCAATAGAACAACAGCAGTGTTCATCTTCCTAATATTCTATCATATTCGAAGACACTACATAATGTTTTTTCAGTCTTTTGTTGCTTGTTAATTATACAGTTGATTTAAAATCCACACGTTGTACATAAAGCTCCTCCACTTACTGTCACAAAATTTATTCATTTATTTATGCGTTAATGCTGGTCTATAGGAGCTGTGGCTCACTACTTTACGCATTCGACTCCCCACAACCACGTCATGATTCAGAATCCCTCCTCACCTACCGAGATTTGGGCAGCCAAGTAGCCATAACACATTGAGTGTGTGTGGACCAGATTTCCTTCAAATTTCCCTCACCAACTTCATTCAACGACGAACTAGTCAGTTTCAAACTACCCACAAGCAGTAAGGGTTTTAACCACAGATTATTATTACGATGACGGATGGTTTCAATACTTACAGCAATAGACAACTTGAATTAGTGTGATCTTTATCGTCTGATAAACAGCAAAAATAGCATTCTATGATAGGATAACCCACGGTTATTGTTGTCTTGTTACGTCATATTTTTTGAATTATATTTCCTCGAGATGTGAATAAGCAGTGTTAATTCTAGTCATTTTTCCAGCCCGGAATTACTTCGTCTAATTGTATCAGAAACTAACGACACCTAGAGAGTGTTATTTGGTAAGTGTCGACTAGGAGTGAATTCATGGACTCCAGTTTCGTCCTCTTGAGAGCTCGTTAGATGAATGTACCAGCACCCCGGAGAATGATAACATTTGCACTGAGTTTCATATGATGAGCCACTATCCACTAAACTACTAAGCCGCCAAACCCACTTTTTGTGCGATAGGCTTCATCTGTTACCTACTGGAACTTTTGAGGTTTTGTTTGAAAAACTGAAATGAAATTCAATGTTTTAATAAATAACTTGGAAAACGACTGATTTATAAAGGACACTAATATTATTAATAGATGCCTCTATACTACTTATAACAGTAGGCATAAACTTCCTGATATATGAAAAAGGATTGAGAGGACGGTTAATACATATTCCTCACATTCCGAATATGATTTAAAAGTTCAGGAGTGATTTGTTTTTATATGAAATCTGAACATGCAGTGGATATTAGTTAAGGATATCTATTTCGAGCTGTTCTAGATAATACAGTATTATTAACATGCAAATAATAGATGTTAGTGACTAAATACAGAGCAGTGAGTTACAGTTAAAGCACGAAGGTAGTGAGCAGTATTTCTGATCAGATGTTTACCACCCAATGACTCTACAACGTAACCAATAACTAAAAATTATTTTTTGATTTATTTGTATCTCGCAATAAAACACTGCATCAATTTCTATAAGATTACAGTTTCAGCTCTTATTAGATTTACCCAAGCTTGGCAGACAGAACAGTAAAAATAAATATTCGAAAAGGAACGATAATAAATAATTTAGCAATACATAAAATATATATATATATATATATATATATATATATATATATATATATATATATATATATATATACAGGGAAAAATATTGCGTCACGTCACCTTATTAGATTTTAGTTGTACACGGAGACGAAATCCTCGTTCCACATGATCCACCGTTGCTTCGCAAAAGGCACCTCGATACTTTGCACTAACTGCTGTGCCTACAACTAAAAATGATGGAGGGAGGGAATGTCGAGATCCATGTGCACCAGTATTTGAGCCTGCACCTCCAGGAATAGTTGATCTATTGTTATTGTTTGATGACTAGTAAAACAGGAAAAAAATCAACTGGTAGCTATACTATCTGAAATAGTCGGGTTAGCAGACCATTAACGTAGTGGGTCTACATTGACAGTAAAATAAAAATCTGGGTTGCGGCCGAACCAGCCTCCTAATTACTAGCCTTGTTGGGTAAGAGTTCCAATTCTGTTAAGACCCAGACTTTTAATTCACATTCTATCGCCTGCTACACAAATAAATAATAAGTAAAGTTGAAAAAAAGATTAAACTACATTTCTAAAATGTTCAAATTATTTCAGAAACAAGCAATTCCAACATAATTAGTTTCTGTACAACAACATGTATGGAATATTTCTTATTGCTTCATTATTTTTAAGACATGAAAACATCTGTTCGTGGTACTGGTAAAAGTGAGGCAATTTACCAACTAATTAAGCATCAAAATTATGACCAAGCTACAACAAACAAACAGAAATAATTAAAAATTTACAGGATTTCATCAAGAGCTGAAGTCAGTTAGGGAAACATTAGAAAACCTGGGAGTACTGGACAGCCGTTTCGTCCTAGTTTGGGACCCTTCATCAGTACGCACCCACCGGGATTCGAACCCAGGACCTTCTGGTTATAAGGCGAGCTCGTATACTACTGAGCCACTGGGACCCGATCCAATGTCGTGAATTGGCAGAAGTTAGAATTCATGGGCCATTGGATTGCGTCCCAGCTCATGATGAAATCCCGTAAACCAATCAAATCCCTACACACCAACAATTAAAGCTTTAATTGAACTAAACTGATTGGACTGAATTACTAGTCTGACCGACTGACTAGTTTCAACAATGAACTTTGCAGTGTAGCAGTTCGAGTTACCACACAAAGTACCACACAACGGAACATATATGTATGTTAATTATCACAGTGAAAAGGCATTAATCTCAACGTTTTCACCAGTAAAATATGGAAAAATTGACCGTTAGGATAGTGATAAATTAGATTAAGCCTCCTTAAAAGAGCAAGGAAAGTTCTGAAGGCATGAAACTCGTGGCGTAATCGACAGATACAAAATATTTGACGCTGACCAGGAAACACTTAACAAGCCACTGCTGTAAAATGACGCATACTCCACAGCTCCACAGATTTCAAGGACTAAAGGCATTTTTGAGCGACTAGAGTATTAAGCATGGTCATGTAGGAAATTTCAGTCAAAACACAATAAGAAAGATTACGTCACCAGAGCCCCTACGTCGAAAGGAATAGCCATACATCCACTAGGAAACTGGGATCCTTATCTATGAATCCTACGGACAAGGCTACCAAAGACCTATAGGCTGTTAATTGTATTTTCATGGTACTCTACACTAACAATAAGTGTCTCCAGAAAGGTTTCTTATTCCATAGTTTATAGTCCTAAGTAACCACTCTACTGAACAAGTGTATTAATTAAGTTAACCGTTTAAACAGGAACAGAATTTCAAAAGTACAATTACCATATTGCCCGTAGGATTTCATTTAAAAGCCCGTAGTGTTACAGTTCGAAATATACCGCCAAACATTGTATGCTCAATCCAATGTCCAAAATTATTTGTGCGCTTCAGTGTAATCCGAACCAATAATAAAAGGATGAATATATAAGAGATGGAAAAATAAAATAAGAAGTATCCAACGGTAACACATAGAGAAGTGGATGGGACAATTAAATCATCCAGTTAAACTGTTGATGGCGAAACTCAGGAGTGTAGCGATAACTTATTCCACAGAATTACTAGCCATAGCATTCATCACTGCACATTGGATGCTGACCCTCACTGTTTTAGTCGATCTGTTAAGTTGAAGGCTTGCGGTCTAGCATCCACGCTATTCGGCACGCTTTTGTATTGCGTTCTTTCGATTGTGAACAATCCCTAGCCAGTTAAACAAGCATTTCGCAATCCTGTTTGGTCCTAAAATGTACTTTTTTATTTCGACGGTTAATTCTGTCGTTTTCCTTTGCCTTTGGTCTATGGGGATCGAATAAAATAGATGACGTGGGTGTTGGATCTAGTGTTAGTATACTTCAAACTATGCTTCAATGTGTACACCTCCAGTGTCTGTTAGTAACGCGGGATGGCAGAACTTAGTATATTTCCTGGCGTGATTCGGCGCCAGGTTTTGCAGAGTGAGGCATAAGTTAGTTGGCCGCATTTAGGATTTCTGCTTTTGTTGGGGAATTTATGTCCACCAGTAGTTCTGTGTGTGCTGTTGGTGGTACCTATGGACGAGTTGCAGGTGGTAGCCGATTCAAGAGTCCTTTACAGTGACAAACCCATCGTCTTATTTGTTTCTCTTCATTGATATTCTGGTCTCCCTGAGCATCTTTTATTGGTCTCATCATCTACACTGACCTTTTCCGACATAGAGACCTGGTTGTCTGTTATGATGTTCTGAGATCTTTTTGACCTGCGGCCTGCTTGTTCTGCATCAGCTGTCAGCCAGGGTGTCGTAGAATCGTCACATGTCCCTCCCAGCACTCTTCTCCACTTCTTTTTTCTGTGCGATGTACCTTGAACTTCTCCTCTGTTGCCCATCGTTGCATTCGTTTATCTTCTGTTTCACTATCCCCCACTCTTCTATTGCATTTCAAGTGTGAGTTGAGAGCCATTCCTTGTCGTATCTCCTCTTCCTTCCTAAAGCAGTTATACATGTTTCAATGGACATCATCTTCATAGAGTAAGTTCCATTGTTATTCCACACAGGTTTCCTCGGTGGTGACCGCCGTAGTGTCTCCAACTTTTCTCTTATCTGATATGTAGTGAAGGTATCCCTTGTAGTTTTTGCCTTGAGTTTCTGAATGTTGAATTTGAATTACAGTCTGTCTCCACTTGTTTTCAGAGATTTCATCTTCACCTTGAAGGTTCCTTGAACTAGATGATAGTCTGAGACCATATCTGCTCCCCTTGTGGACTTTGTGTCCAACAGACTGGCTGTGTCTTCACTTTCTTGAGCAACAACAGTGAGATGAAATCTGTCTGGTTTCTGGTGTGTCCGTCAGGCGAGATCCATGTCGCTGGCCTTGTGTATATCCTTGTGCTTGTACATGCTGCCTTCGATCGCCAAATCACTGAAAGTGCAGAAGCCTGTAAATAGTTCTCCGTTCTCATTGGTTTTTCGGAGAGTTTCTTGACGCATGATGAGTTCTCTTTCTGTATCATCAGGTCCCAGTTCGTCTGGCATTCATATAGCCCATGAGGGTTTTGATGTTACCATTTGGGGTGTTGTCCATTACTGTTTGTAGTTGTCTGTAAAAGTTTCCCTTCTTGTCTTGTTCGTCGTTGTCTGTAGCACTGTGCGTAACATTCCATGATAGCTGTAACCTTGTTGTTGTGGTTGTAGTTTTTCTCTTTACCCGAGCTTGGGACCGCCTGGAATACTAAAGAACTAGTAAACTAGGTGACGTTGAATTATTATTAAGTAAAGGTAATGATATGTATGACTGGTGCATATTACGTTCACTTAAACATGGCACAAGCCAATGGACAATGAATTTTGACATAATATGGATATACAGGTGGCGTTATTGACAGAACATTCTGGGGAGTAAGACAGTGGAAAGTAAATAGTACCAAAAGTATGAGTCTGGATATATACTGAATTATGTTGTGCGAGTATTCCGGAGATGAGCCATTTGGACGCAGTCCTGGTGTCACTGCATTTTTGTTCCGCTTCGGATTAAAGCTGCCCCGGATGGTGCATTAGCCATATCTGCTGGTAAAGAGATTCAGGGTGGATAAAACCGAAAGTTAAATAAATAGGAACCCAGTCAACGAGTAGACTATGATATTTAAACAAATTTCGAAGAATATCGGGCACCAATGTTTATAACTGTCTATGCGTCAATGCATAGTTGAACATGATCACGCTACATCGCCTGTGTAATTCACGCTAGTGCCCATTTTTCAGCTAGAACTAGACCTTGGTCTCGCTCTTACGTTCTACAGAGGTTAATTTTCACTCCGTGACTTACATGTGTGTATTGCCACCACTTCGAGTTTTTTCCAGGTTGAAATTCATACCAATAACCAGCCCTCCAGAATCTTCAGTTCTTCTTGCAAATTATATGAGTCTTCTGAGCACTTCACTGCTCTCCAAATCTTTACGTCATCTGGATAAATAAGAACCAAACACATTATACGGCGTGGCAGGTCAATTTCTGAAATCAGAAGCACCACGGGGCCTGTGATAGAGCTTTGTGACACTCTTTGTGCAGAAATTTTATCATCAGTCAAACATTCCAGCACCTTATATACCACTGAGAGCACTACAACTGGTCTGTGGCTAGCTGCTCCTTGTCAGTCCCCATCCTTGAAGATAGAATAAGAGGACCAACTTCCACTTTTACGGCAGTCTCTACGAATCTTTGGAGTTTCAGAACGGGTCACATAAGGGATTACAGAGAGATTCTGCGAACAGTTGCGCGGACATCGTCACAACTTGAGAACTTTTCAGAAGCGGGGTTTTGTGACTTACCTGGCATAACTGTAGGGTCAGCTTGCAGCGTAGTCATCGGGTTTTCTCTTAGGGAATTAGCTACGCCACCCACATAACCGATAACCCAAATACCCAAAGTTCTATTTAGCTGTCTGTGAAAGGCCAAGTTGATTGTTACAGCCATTTCTAAACTAGCTGGATACTGACTACTTTTGACCATATAAAGCTCGTTCCCCCTGGTTGTTAGGTTTTCTTACCGGCA